ACTCCAGAGAGGCAAAAGCAGTCTCAGTCTTCCTCCAGCCACTGGGAAATCGGCTAGAGGAAAAGGGTAGAGGAACCGAGGGGAAGTTGGAGACAAGTAAGGACGTGTGGGACTGGGAGAGCTGCTAATGCAAGGCTGTGATCAAAGGCTGTTCTCGGGTTTTGGGACCAAAAAAGGACAGGCTCTGGAAGATAACCTTCAGAGCATATCTGTGCAGAGCTGGAGCTCATAAAGACTCAAAGGAGCCGATTGCTCTGTAAAAAAAATACCGACATGGTGTCTGGAACGGATGCAAAAAGCAGCCTAGGTGTTTCTCTGTTAAGTCCCAAACGAACCACTTCCACTGTTTAGTGACAGTGAAAAAGGACTCGAAAACAGCAGTCTGGGATGTGTCGGGGAGGTGAGCTCAATTCCCAGGTGCATTAAAGCGCAGCAGACCGGCGCTGTGCAGGAACATCAGTGCGGGGCTAGCAAGGCTGGCGTAACATCAAGTTTTTATAGACTGCTGAAAAGGGAAAAGACTTTTGGTCCTGAGTTGTAGCTGCTAGCGAAAATAGCTCCCTGTGTTCCAGCACAGGGAGCGTCTCCCTCCAAGAAAAGGGAGAGTTTTCCTGGAGAAATCCAGAAAAAGTTCAGACTTTTTTTTTCCAAAGGGTAAAAAAAAAAAGGGAGGTCCCTCTCTCAGCAGCTCACAGATCAGGTCCCCCCGTGCTGCGGTGATGGGATGCCCACGCTGGCCTGGACCCAGCCACGAGGCCCGTTGGACCAACAGAAAGAGGTGGGGCGAGCAGGCTGGGCACACACCTCTTTAGCTTTACCCTTCGAGCCCTCCTTGTTTTTATAGCATCGTCACTCCTCTTTTTATTGCACATTTTTTAAACTACATTTCAGGTCCTGCCTCTGTTATTAATACCCTCTCTGCTCTCATTTTTCCTGAAAGAAAAGTATCTTTATTGAAAGAATGTAGCAAAACCTGAAAGAAATAAAACAGAGCACATGAATTGCCATACATCCGAAAAAACCATCCCCTTACTGAACAGTTCCCTTCCTTCCCCAGCTTTAACCTCGGACTCTTGCCAGATGTTCCTGTTTGTTGCAGGGTGTCTGATTTTGGGTTTGGGGTCTCTCCAAAGGGGGAGGGCAGAGCTGGAAATAGGATGGGTGGCCTGATGGTGTCCAAACACAGTCAACTATCTCCATTAAATCTTGTTCGAGATTTGGCCTCCACTTCTGTAGGCCCTGTTCGGGTCTGAAAGACCCAGTACTCACATAGATGAGGAAGACAGATCCAGTAGATAGACTGAAGACGAGCCAATACATTTAAGCCAGCACAACATATGGACTCTTACATCTCTCAGCCTAGGAAAGATTGCTCCCCACAGATTTCTTCTAGGTTTGCCCAGACAAAGTGAAACATCCCAGCCAGTAAGACTTTTCCCTTCTTTCCCTCTGGATTATTTTATAACTGTATACCTCTCACTGCCAGGATCTTTTTCCCATTATGCACAGCCTATTCTTCCCCTTTAACAATGGTCTCCATTATCCTCAGTGATAAGAATTGATTTTATACTAAACAGTTCTGCCCTTCCCGACACATACACCTCACACAGAAATGTGTAGACTGTTTGATCATATTGTCATATCCCCCGCACCCCAAGGGTTAGTGAAACCGTAAAGTGTCTTTGAAGACTTGAGTCAGGTCCTCTGCAGTTCTGCCTTCATTGCTTTGAGCTTTCCTGTCTGCATCCGAGATCAGGTGAGGCTTGAGGCTAGGCACCCAGGAACAGATTCACACTGCTTTTGCAAAATGAAAACTGAATCCTAATTTATGAAGAACCTGAACAATTTACTTCGGCATTGCAAAATCAGAGTAATCTTCTTCAACCCAACAGAGAAACTACCCTTCTGATCTTCACCTCTTACTTTAGAGAGACCGTGAGCCGAAATGAATGCCTTTTGCTAAGAGTTGCAGCCTGATGCCTGTAACTAAAATGTAAATCTGGCCAGTAATTATCTCACTTGCAGCCTTTATTTTCTGGGTATGATCACAAAGACAAGCCTGCAAAGCCTCTAGAGTTCTCTGCCAAGGCAATCGCATAATTGCTTTGCTGTCCTTTTGACTAACAAAGAATCCACTTCAGCAGGTAACATGGAGTTTCACCTGTCTTGTATCTGTGACAGGCAACCTCTAGGAATCAGAAACACTGTGTTTTTTTAATGCCTCTTATTTGTATAAAAGGTTGCAGCCTTAGGATTTTCACTCCCCTGTGAGGTTACGTTTTTCTGGCCAATTCAAATGGGCATTTTATCATCTGCAGTGTGTCTCTTTGGGAACACAGATGTTATTTGATCATGCAATGACAGTACTTGTAATGTTGCTGTAGCATCTGTTTAAGAACCCTGGAAATTAGGTTTACCAGTGCATGGGTGTCGTGGTTTAACCTGGCAGGCAGCCAAATATCACGCAGCCGCTTGCTCACTCCCCCCGCCGGTGGGGCGGGGGGAGAATCGGAAAGGGAAGAGGGAGAAAAACTCATGGGTTGACATAAAGACAGTTTAATAGAACAGAAAAGGGAAAATAATAATGATAATGATAGAATATACAAAATGAGTGATGCACAATGCAATTGCTCACACCCGCGCTGACCGATAACCAAGTAGCGATTGGTACTTCCTGGATCACGCCTACCATTCATATACTGAGCATGACGTCACATGGTATGGAATACTCCATTGGCCAGCTGGACTGGCTGTCCTGAATATGTTCCCTCCCATCTTGTGTACCCAGCTCAGTCAGTAGGCATGGGAGCTGTCCTTGGACTAGGAGGGTACTTAGCAACAACTGAAAACATCAGTGTGTTATCAACATTCTCCTCATACTAAATCCAAAACACAGCACTAGCAAGAAATTTAACCCTATCCCAGCCAAAACCAGGACAATGGGACAGACCTGTGAATGGACATGTCATGGTGAATTAAGGATATAAGTCAGCGCTATCACAGTGAATGGGACAGAGGATCTTCTCCTGCAGGTACTCAAACCCAGCCCTTGGGACTCTGCTTATATGTGGATTTCCATCCACCTTCTCACCTTGCCACTGTGACTGAACCATAGATAAGTGCAACAGCAAAGTGTGGAGATGACAGGGGAGATGAAATAACATGAATACTGCGTTCTTTGTATTATTCCCTATTATTGCTGCTGAGCCAGAAGCAGCCCCTGTGGCTGAGATACTCCGTTTCAGAAACCATCTCGTCTCCTGTGTCACTAAGCAGTATGGAGTGGGACCAGCCTTCACCACCCGTCACCTCTCACCTACCCATCAGATTGGTATTGTGTGGTATTGGGGAGGAATAGGCAACCACTAAGGGAGGGGAATACATTTCCCAATCCCCGTGCTACGTAGTCCTTGCCCAGGTGACACCTGGTGGAGATGCCCCTGGCCTTACCTTTCCAGAGCTCAGTGAGGATGGTGATGATGGGCTTCTCACTCAGCACAAAACCTGGGGGCAACTTCATAGGCTTTCAGGATTTCCTCTGTGCCAGTGAGCAGGCATATCAGCCTCTCCACTTCCAGTTTTGCTTTTCTGCACCCTTTCCCCTGCTCTCTCTGCTCCGTGTTTCTCTACTCTTAAATGCATTTCTTAGGTGGAGTGTGGTCCATGGGGACACAGCATCAGGGGGACCAACAGCCCTTCATTCCCACCAGGGAAAATCTGCTCCGGTAGCACAGCTGAAGTTGTCCCAGGCCAGGGAAAACAGGGAGCAGGCACTATAGGAGGATGATGGGATTTTCTGCCTCTTTAATGCACCGTGCTATATAACACTGTAGTTGTGTGATTTCTGAAGCAGGTTGCTGTTTCTCTAGCTGCAAGTGTTAGCGAATTTCCATAGCTTGCACAGCTCCAAGGACTGTGGGTAATGCTGCGCTCACACCCATATTTTCCTAAAACTTCAGCCTGAAAAGCTTCATCATTTCCTTGAAAGTGAGTGGGTTAGAGAAATTAACCACCATTGTGAGTATCAGGTTTTGGGCAGCTGGCATGCAGGCAAGCCTTGCCTCAGCCTCGCCTGGATAATGGTAACAAGAGACCCAGGGGGAAAAAAGGAGCAAGAAACTGCTAATCCATTTACAGTGTCACCTACCCAGACCAGGTTGTGTTTAATCACTTACGTTCAGCATTTCATTTATATTTAACAACACACATTCTCTCCCCAGTCTGCACATAGGCACGAAGCATACTGCCGGTAGCAGTGGAAGCACAAAAAGTTAAATGACCTTGAAAAAAACCAACCAAACAGAAGAAACACCCCAAAAAATAACAAATGGATATATTTGCGAGAGTTTAATAAATTAAATGCAGGAGCTTAACTTTGCAAGAGCACAACCCTGAAGCAAAAGGATTTATTTGGTATTTACAGATTTTTTTTGCAAAACAAGTTTCTATGAAACCATAGCAACAAAGGTTAAAGTGAAGATTTGGAATGATGTTGGAATCATTCACGAGGGAAAAAACCAATAATCTCTGTTTCGGGTTGATGGAATGTGAGATTAAAGCTAAATAGAAAGAAATATTTCAAAAGATTTTAGGCAATTAAATCACCCTAAATCCTGTGAAAGGTAGACATTTAAAAATATTTTTTGTCAGAAAATTGTGTCCTTGATTTTTAAAAAAATCTGTCTGGTAACTTTGTGATAGTAATGTTATGTGCATAAATGTCCAAGTTTATTACTCTTCTCTTGCAAGACAAGATACAGAAACAGATTTCACTTAAGCCGTACTACAGTTGATTTCTAATGGAATCACATGTATCCCAGCAAAAATCTGCATTTTTCTGAAAGGATTCTCTATTGCGTTCCCTTCTTCAAGGGAAGAATGTATTTCAGAGAAGTTCGAATAGGAAAGTAGAATCAGTTACAACTTACCTTTACACTCGAGTAGATGACATCAGATTTTTCAGGGAAAGCAACAGGCTTCTTTTGGGTAGCGTCGTAAGAGTTGTAAATTCAAGCCAACAGGTAATTGTTGGTGATTCAAAATCCTTTAAAACACATTTAAACGCTGCAGTGACAAATAATGTACTTCGTGAAAACTTATTTGAGGCTTGATGCTCTTGTATTGAGTTTTGTAACTGTCTGTCTCAGCTAAATAAGCTCCCACTCCTTGCCTCGGATACTTGCCAGCTTTTCTAATTTAAAGCAACTGTGAGCTTGCTGTAAAACTCCTGCTGGAAGGAGCTCAATGTATACCATGGAGCAAGGAGCAAGCGTGTGCTCCAGACTGAAGCGGTATGACAGAGTCCTAACAGGACCCGGGGCATAGCCTCCCCGAGGTAATGTTATATCATCTTTGGAAAGCATGATAGGCTAAGTTGTCTCCTTCTCGGTAAAGACACAGAGAAGAGGAAAAAATCATGCTGCTTCTGGCATGTAGTCCCCTCAGCGTGGGATTTGGGAGGAGCAGCATCTGCCTCAAAGCGGAGGAAGAAGCAATAGCCTCAAATACACAAAGTGCTCAGAGCTCCCAAAGGAGCCTGGTCTCCGAATTGGCCAAAAGACTCCCAGTATCTTTAGAGGCACTGGTCCTTGGTCTGAGGCTTTGGGGACAGGTCCGAGGGCTTTCTCCTGAGCTTCCTCTGCTAATGTAATGCAGGGTGTCCCTCTCACAGGGGCTGGGACACCCAAGCTGAAGGTCATGGCTGAGTACAACCCCAAACTGCTCCCTCATGATTTTGGAGAGTTTCAGATGAAACTCATGGCACTGATCCTATCTTCTGAGACACTGTCAAGCTGTAAATAACAGAGGTTTGATTTTCAAAGGCATCCACTTAGTGGGGATGGCTCTGTGCTGCTTTGCTCAAATTAAGATAGTGGAGCATGTGAAATGTTGTTCATGCAGGAGAGTTGCCTGTGCCCATGTCGAATTCCTCCTTTTTGCAAAGAATTTATTTCAACCAGCTATGGTTGACACACACGGTATGCATTCATGAATTGACAGAAAAGGTCCCCTTTTGCAAATATGAGTTCCCTCTGCCCAATAGCTAAAAGCAAGCAAAGAAAAAGCCAAATTATAAAACATTATTGTGATTTGGGAAATTTCAGTCTCTGAGCTTCTACATTAGTACCTGTGCTGGTTCTGGGATAGAGTTAATTTTCTTCACAGTCACTAGTATGGGGCTGTGTTTTGGATTTGTGCTGAAAACTGTTGATAACACAGGGATGTTTTCATTACTGCTGAGCAGTGCTGACACAGAGTCAAGGCCTTTTCTGCTCCTCACCCCACCCCACCAGCGAGTAGGCTGGGGGTGCACAAGAAATTGGGAGGGGACACACCCGGGACAGCTGACCCCAACTGACCAAAGGGCTATTCCATACCATATGACGTCATGCTCAGCATATAAAGCTGGGGGAAGAAGAAGGAAGGGGGAGACATTCAGAGTGATGGCATTTGTCTTCCCAAGTGACTGTTACGCGTGATGGAGCCCTGCTTTCCTGGAGACGGCTGAACCCCTGCCTGCCGATGGGAAGTAGGGAATGAATTCCTTGTTTTGCTTTGCTTGCGTGCACAGCTTTTGCTTTACCTATTAAACTGTCTTTATCTCAACCCATGTGTTTTCTCACTTTTACCCTTCCAATTCTCTCCCCCATCCCATGGGGGAGGAGCGAGCAAGCGGCTGTGTGAGGCTTAGTTGCCGGCTGAGGTTAAACCACAAGAGTACCATAACAAACTTTTGTTTAAAAATGAGGGTCCTGAAAAGCCTATCTCAGATTATGCCCCAAATCACTGAGCGCTTTTGGAAATGAATCCAACCAACCTGCTGATGCTAAAGTGACATAAGGTTTATTGTCGTTGTTATTAAGTGACTTTGGCTTTGTCAGCCATATTTTCTTGCAAAACTAGTGTAAGTAAAGGTGGAATCATTGGACTGAAATTTTCAAAGGTGTTTGATGCTCCTGAAAGAGTAGATGAATCTTGTGTGACAAAACAAGCCAATGTCAAAATGCCACCTTTGAAGTGGCTATAAAATATCTGGTTCATTTGAATGTTCTAATTTACATGACACTGAAATATGAAGCATTTCATATTTTAAATTGAGAATTAAAAACTAAGATCCTGTGTATTCAATCAATATAGATAAAATTCTGCTGCCAATAATGGGAGAAAGGGTTTAAGGAAAACTAATTTTTTTTTTCTTTTCCAAGTTTGGAGTTTCATTCCAGTACTAAATGATAATAACCAGGATATAGAATACTCTGTTACAAAATGATATGGTACTGTGCAAACTTCAGTATATGATTTGACAAGTCTCAATTTTTCCCCAAAGTATAGCTGTAAGAGTATTTTTATTTTGCTCTGTGGATCTGCTGGTGGACTTGGATGCAGGTGGGCAACAGTGAAAGTACAAATACCATCCTATCACGTCACTTAAATGTACTGTAGAAACAATCTAAATGATTTCTCTATCTTAATTTTCATTTTGTGATCAGGCATTAGGTATATGCTTTTAGGTACTGGCACCTCTGGAAACTTGTATGTGCATGATTGTGGCAATTACCTAGAACTTTTAAAGATCATCTGGAGAGCATTGCCCGCAGTTGGCCTCTTTCTGCTCCTGCCAAGAGAAGCATGAGATGCTGCTTTCTCTTCCTGATGAGTCTTTCTTGGGAAAGTAGGGGATGTTGCCCCTGCCCCATAGGAAAAAAGCATGTTTTCTAACAGTCTGTGGAGAAGACCGGCAGGAGTTACGATCGTGGGCTTTGCCATTGATTCACATCTAGCTCTGGACTGAGTCTTCCTCACTTCCATTCATTAACCTGCCTCATAGGAATCTAAGGACTAAATAGCCATTAGTGAAGTAACAAATAATATTAATACTAGTAATTTTTTGGCAGCAATAATAAAAATCAAACATTTCTTCTGAGCTGTTAATGTTTTATGCCCTCTGAGACCACCTGGATAGTTTTCTGTGGTCCACAACACAAAGTTAAAGCACCCGCTGGCAATTTGCCTCTTATGTTAGCGAGAAGGAGGCTTAAGGAGGAAGATGCACTTAAAGCTTTGTTGGAAGAAAAGGGACATGAGCTCCAAAATAGCAAGAGTCTTAAAAGGAAGGAGTTGAACCCATTTCTTTTGCTTACCGGCTTTCCAGATGGGAGGCGGGAGGCAAGAGTAAAAGTGGAGGAGAAACTGCAAAGTGCTCTGCAAGTCTTGGAGGTTTAAGTGTTCAACAGAAAATACCAGTTCAATTTTTTTGGAAGAAAGATTATATTTTTATAGGGTTGCTCACTGGCACCTGTGATAGGCTCATTTTTAATCCCTCTAAAGTTACAATTCTAGGCAACTATTTCATATTTCAGCACCAGAACATTGATTTTCTTGCTTTTGGCTTTATCTAGATGCAGCTATGGTAGGATGGAGCTGCTAGCCGCAGCAGCTGAACCAGGAACTGCTATTTGGCATTCATGTCCTCGCAGGTACAACACAGCAACTAACACAGGGGTTAGGAAAAAAGGAATCATTTGTCTTGGAGAAATTTCAAAGGGGAAGAAAATGCCTCTTGCCTGTGAATGCAAGTCTTCATATGGTCCTGTACGTCTGGACATATGTTGCGTAACAGATTGTTGCATCTTGAAGACAAAAAACATGAATCCATGTAATAGATGCATGAGTAAATGTGCTCTAAGGAATATGGTTGTCACACCCTTGACAAATAGTCATCTTTAATCCTCTCATGTGGCAAGCAGCTGGGACTTTTTCCTGGTGACATCTTTAAGTCCTTTCTCTGACCAAAGTGTTTTAAGATTCAGCAGGTTCCAATAAGTAAGGATGTTTCCAACACAAATATCTGAACCAGGAATCAAACAAAATCCTTCATCAGCAGTGAACCACTAAGAAGTTGATTTGCTGGCAGGAAGGAATTATGACTTTGTGGCATTGAAAGGAGAAGTATCCTTTGATGTTGGGATTTGGGATTTTCCTGTGTTATGGCTGAATGCATTTATATCCAGATAATACTCAGTTATTCAATTGCCAAGATGTGAATGTAACTGCTCAGGATTCATCTTGCTTCAATACTGAGAGAATGAGCAGGTTTATATGGCACAGTGCACTCTAGGAGGTCACAAAGCTGCTAAAAGCCGGAAGCCTAATTCTCCCCTCACACAGAGTGGTGTGAATGAAGACTGGCTTCATCCAGGAAACAGAAATATGTCATTGTCCAGTGGCCCTAAATGAGAAGAAAAATCAACTGTTACATGGAAATATGATGTCAAAACACATGGAAGTTTTTGCTTAGTTTGGTTGTTTGGGGTTTTTTTTGTGGGTTTGTTTTTTTTTTTTCTTTTTTTTTAATAGCTAGCTCTTGGCATTTACAGCTTAGTCGGTAGAAGAGTTCATAAGGTATTCCCAGGGTGATAACACAGAAAGAGCTAAGAAAAAGATCAGTGTGAAAACTTCAGTAAATTCAGGTATCACTATTAAGGAAACAGAAGAGGGAGGGATGGGCAGTCTGCTTTTAAGGGGTGCTGCTTTCATGACTCCCAGTTGGTGCACCCCTCTGGAGATGTCCAACAAGTGAATGGCTGCAGGATGGGGACACATTGATGATGAACAGCTCATGTCCAGATGATTCTGCAGGTGCTGGGACTGCATACCTCAGGGACGCATCTGGGTACCAATGGATTAACTCCACATGCATTTTTTATATATATGAGATGCAAAGTGCAGTTCCAACAGGGCCTGTGACTTTTCAAATTGCTATAATTTATTCTAAGCTTAAATTTGCTAGAAAACACAGTCCAAATCTCATTTACCCAACAAGATTACCTAAGTAAAGATAGCTCTGCTCTGCACCTCCAATCTATCATTAGTCACCAATATAAAACTAACATGTCGGGTTTAAATCTTATCTGCTTGGAACAGCTTGGAACAACTCTGCTATACGTACTGTTTTGAAATTGAATGCTATTTGTTGCAAGCAGAATAGCACATGACATTTCTCACCCCCCAGCGAGTCAGATCACCCTAGTGTTAGGGCTTGGAGTCTTAATGGGGCAGAGCATTGCAGCTCCATTGCCTCCACTATATATCTGCAATTAAAATTTTAGTTGCAGTTTCACTTCACCTGCCTACGCCTCCACATGATGAGGGGGGC